GATCGAACTTCGATTCCTCTCAATCCTTCAAGAAGAACCCTTTTCAACTTTCCTCCGTTTCAAGCCTTGGCGGCCAGTTTTTAACGTCCACCATCTAACCGATCATGTCAGTCGGCTTCGAGGGGATAATCATCGTTTTCAAGAGATGATACTCTGTTACGGTCACGAAAGCGCTCGATCTCGATTTTTGAAGTCGTTCGAGGCCGATTTTCACTGTCACCCTGGTCATTTTTCACCTCGATCGCGAAGAATGGGATTTCAATCACTTCGAATTTGTACGTGCAGAGTGTTCTTAATAACTAGTGATAAAACGGATATTGAAAAGTGTTGAGCTTTCCTTTCAAGTTTAAAAGATTGCCAGTGTAAGTAGTTAAATTTGATAATTCTGTGATAATCCTAAAAACTCGAAATTCAAAATGGCTCGAAATTTGATATTTTGGAACATGGATCGCCGTGAAAAATTTTCGAAGTCTTTTGACGTGCATTGAAAGTGGAGCTTTGAAGTTCCCCTTCCGAGAAACTTGAGTTTAAGAAATTGTCAATTGTACTTGAATTTAAATAATTCTATGATGAGAAATTCGAATGTAATTGGAAGTTCAGAATTTTGGGCCGACTTCCGAAACTCTGGAAAATCCCGATCGTTTTAAATATCTTTGTCATTAATCGGTCGAAATTTTTAGTTTGGCTGATTGATCGATGCTTACGATTAACTCGTTGTGCGATTGAAGAAAACAAATCGTTGGAAAACAAGCGGCTGACTTAATCGATTTAATAGACTTTCTAAGCTTCCCAATTCAATGTTGATTCAAAGCGATTCAAAATCGTCTCAGATCTCATCGACTGCGAATCGCTGTCGTCGTGGAATTTCACAGATCTTTCTTCTAAGCTGGCAACTTTCTACTGCCAATAAGGAAGTCTTTTGTTTTTTTCTTTTTTTTTTTTTTTCTCTCTCGGTGCACGCGGTTCCAGACCGGTAATCGATTGGAAATGTCTGCTCCGTTTTCCCGATATCGTACTTTTATTTCGAGCGAACACGTTACTCATGAATATGTATGAAACGTCAGTGTTTAACAGGACTTATCGAGGCCGAAGAAATATATAATTATTTATTTAAGATTTTTTTGATCCCGAGGAATCTGTACAGTTATTCACTGAGATTTTGTAAAAGAAAGAATCATCTATTTATATAAATAATCCTTTGTTTATTTATTTTAATTATATAAATATTATAAGTCTATTCGTTTCAATATTAATATGTGTATGCGTAAAGTATTGTAATTATTTTGTAGCAGAATGTATTATTTTCAAGGTAAATGTAAAATAATCGAACAATTCATTATTTCATTCCTAAATTGCTCTAAAAGAGTTCGTAATTGATCTTTTTCAAATTGAAATTCAATAGAACTTCATTTTTGATAGAGCTTTTATTACGTGTTCAAAGGCTTTCATGTTCTGAATATTTACAATAAATTATTTTTAAGATTTTATACATATATGAAATTGATATAATGATTTGTGAAAGAATTTCATGCATTGAAGGATATTTCTAAACTATAAAATCACACAACAGACAATGTATGTTTCTAAATTTTGCAATTTCTTCGGATTAATCGCTCTTTCTTTGATTAAATCCTTCGAAATTATAGCTACACGCTCGTCGTGTTTCTCAAGAGGTTGGATGATTTATATGATTAATTAAAAACACATGGGTATCTTCGCGAACACCGTATCTTAACGAATCCCGCGATTTTATTTCGGTATCATCAAAGTGATCGTACTGACGGTGGAGGGGGGGGGGGAATGGAGGGGAATTATAAAGAATTTTATTTTTCTTTAGCTTGGATTCTCGATACACTCAGACGTATAATTACTTGGTAGAGTTATCAGAAACGGCATTCACTTCGATCGTAACATTCAAAGAGCACCGAATCGTTCGACAATCCAAATAACGCAATTAATGAGAGCAATCGCACGCCCCTAACTACCAATCATTCGTATCAACTCAGTAAGATATCCGTTGAAAAAGTTTGCGTAATAACTTGCGATAATTCAGACATTTTGTTCGGACGAGTTATTTGAAAAAGATCTCAATCTCTGTAGCAAATTATAAATCTCTCGTCCTCGATCTATCCTCCTGCTGGAACAAATTCAAATTCAAAAGATTTTCAATCGATCGATACTGTATCTTCTTGATTCTTTTTATGTAGTTTTTAATACTACACAGTTACTGAAATTTCATTTTATTATATTTCCTGGAGTAATTAGAATTCTCATTTCCATCATGGTATTTATTATTACGTCCTACAAAGATAGAGCAATCGTCCGGTAGTAAAAATAGAGTTAACAGAAGAAAAAGTATCTCGAAATGAATGATAATTTCACTAATTCGTACATTCTCAGTGCTCTGAAAATGAGAATTTTTTTTCGTCAAAAAGGTAATGAACGAAATCGACGTTTGATTTGCTGCAATCAGTCCAGCATTGGAAGTAGCTTTGTAATTATCTAATAATACACTTAATAATACATTACTTGATATTATTACATTATTGATCGTTGTCGAGTAAAGTTGTTCAAATGTCCTCCAGACAGAAGTGGTCTCACAATTCCCACGGTTCATCCCTGACACTTTTGCAGGAACAGAAGCTTCCTGAGAAGGCAAGGGAAAAATTCTGAAAATCGGCATTCGCTGAAATATTATAGCTAACAATAAGATGTAGCCTAGCATTGAGCTGCCTCCGAGCTGGAAACGCTCTGGCAATTGTCAGTTTCGTTTTACGAGCCGCGAATTGGCAGTAATCGCGGCGTTACGCTGCGGAAAGTGGCGATTGACGGGAGGGAAACCCACGGGTTTCCGGCCGGTGGCGGCCGAAATCGGCGGCAAAATGGCAATCGCTGGACTTTACACGTTCCACCTTGCCACACCGTCACGCGGTTTTTACTGTCGCCTGTATATATAGGCGCGCTAAATTATCCCGTTTGCAATAAAACGCGTGGCGGGATGCGCGTACGCCACGTTGGTGAACAAATAAACGCGAAATTACGATGAAACCTTTCCTTCGCGTCTCTCTCTCTCTCTCTCT